GGGAAAACAATCTCGATTTTCCCAAAATTAAATCTTTATAAATGGCAAATTCAAATTTATCGATTAAATCAATTTATCGCCCAGCCCTACGTTAATGTGTAGGAGCGTCGTCATTTTACACACATGTACAACCTGGACGTGAACTCCTGATTCTCAAAGGAGCAGCGCTGCCGCAGGAGTGCATGTTCTTATAAACAATATAATATTAAAGAATAATTATACGCTCCACRTTATAACACAGACGTGTCTTCGTTTGACTTTTATTTTGCCCTAAAATCACAGAGTTCTCTGTGAGTCAGCTTCAGATGTTTATCATAAATATCTGCTAAATTTAATTCTATCAGGTGTTTTAGCAACAAGGTGCTGTGGCTGTTTTGTGCTGAACTTATTTAGAACCATACTGAGAGGTTTTAAACTAAATATATCAGACAAGTCCTCAGCTGAAAACAATAAATTACATACAAGTAAATTAGAATAAAGCTGTTTAAATCATCTCTCTTCCTGCAGAATGTCATCAGTTGGGCTGGGTATCGTGGCAAATTCTCTAAATCAATTTGATTCATTTAAAATCAACCTGCTCTTAAATAATGAAAATGGTTAAACTGCGTTGCAAAATACAAATCCCCTTGATTTTTTCTCTTCACCATAAAAAACTGGTTTTAGGGGCAAACTTGTAAATTAAACAGTTTAATCTTCAAATAAAATGGTCACAAGTTTCAAAGGTTTTTAATTAAAATGTAATTGCAGGTGACACTGTTGTTGGATGCATTAATTTTGAAGACATTAAGAATAATTTGTTTGAACAAGAAGTGATGGGAACAAGGTTGCAGGAGAAGAGGTGAAAGTATACATCTGCCCACTCCTTTTGAGCRTATGAAAATTGCACATTTGTAATGTTTCTGTTACCTTCTGTTGTTATATTCAATAAAATTTGCCATTTTTCGAAAGGACAACAAAAAWTTTTGGCGGACAACCAGATTTTGTCAACAGGTTGTCTGCTGGACAACCTGGAAAAAAATCCTAATTGTCTACCCCTGATGAGCTTCCACATGCTGCTGAAATGATCTGCTGCACTCCTASAGCAGAAGCCAAATGTTAAATCTACAAGATGGACTTAAGAGCAGGCGAACATCTGCATCTTCTTTTTATCTCCGCAGTTAACAAAATAAAATGTTTTTTTGAACTGGTTTTTAAATTTTTTTAAAACACAGTTGCTTTGCTATGCATAACATGTATGCAGGGTGTGGGGGTGTGTGGGAGGTAGTGTTTGAGCTGAGCGCTGTGTTGATACTGCTAGATTGATTTATTACGGGACATGAAGACTTTCTGTGACAGCGGGCGACCGCTACCCCCCCTCCTCAAATGACTGGTCGCACCAGTGCCAGTGACTGGAATTTTAAATACTCTAGAACCCTGTTTAAGTCAAAAACATTCACAGGGGTCATGCATTCTCTTAAGAACTAAATATTATTTGATTTCAGGAGTTGTTTTCTATCGATATAAAAGCTAAGAAGAATTCAGGTGATGCACAAACACCTGAAAGCCGTTAGTGGGATATGCCAAGTCGATACACACTGACACAAGCCAACATGTGTGAAAATGGAAACCCTAAAACTTCTAAAATATTTATTTTTTAGATGCTAGTGGTCACTGAAACAGATGCTGATGTTGCTTTAGGCTACTCATTGAGCTTGTTCTTTGTTCTCCAATTTCTATGTTCAAAGGAAAGGATGCTTGCTGTGTGTCATGTTGCCTTCTGGGCACAGAAAATACAACCACCACCAACTAACATAGGATCTGTGTCTGGCTAACTTTTCAGTGCAAAGAACTGGGGGGGAGCCAACTTATGATATAATATTAAGAGCATTTGATAAATTATCTACATAAAAACAAGTCCATCTTGCCCTGCTCATTCCCTATTGTGCAAACTCAAGTGCATATACGAGTCACCTGCTTAGCTACAGACAAATGCAAATGTGATTAACTGGAAAATATACATTTAAAATTTAGGCACCAATGAAATTTGCATGACCAAATACTTAAGGTCAATATTTTTTTAAATTAAGACCAGTAACTTTTCAATTCACCTTCTAAGTCCCAAAGTAAAATCCACACATTCAAGCGACTGCTTCAGCTGCAATTATATTCAGTATGAGCTTAAAAAAATCAAACATTATCCACATAAAACACGACGCCCATGTTCATGTATTAACTAAGAAAAATGATCAAGAGTGCAGCTTCAATTTTAACCATCAATAGCTCAACACCAGCCAACGCATGACAACTAGAACAGCAAAAACCCTGCCTCTCCTGGTGTGTGGGAACAAATTAAGTTATAGTGATTTTAGTCTGCTATCATCCTTCTTGTGAAACAACCCATACTCCTACCTAAGCTGGTAAGGGATTCTCTTATCTCTTTGTAACTCTCTCCACCCCATCCTCCTGCTTCACTTTCAGTGCTTTGGGGGAGCTGGGAGAGCTGCTGAGGGAAGGGGAAACGGGTGTTATACACAGGCAACACAAAACACAGAAACACTAAAAATAAGAAAGAAAAATGACAAATACGTGATATGAAAATGTATTTTTGCTAGTTGCATACTAAGATTATGTCAATTTATGTCAATAATTAAAGGCACAAATAATAATAGAATTACTGATGAAAGAAATCTGACATTTAGTAAGAATATATTGTTCTTATCTCTCAGGCATACAGTATTTCCATAGGTTTTGCATTTATTGTACTGAGAAAATAACCACTGGGTTGGTAACCGATAAGTTTTATTTTTAATAATAAGCTTTAATACGCGATTTACAAAATCCTGATGAACAAATGACAATCTACATACATGAAATTGAGRAAAAAATGTATTTTACTGGTTTTGCTTACTTCTGATTATTTACCACAATTTTGAACGCAACTAGTAAACGTTCGCAAAGATATTTAAATGCCACTGGGTCAATTCAATGACGCTGCATTGAAGTCTTTGTATATTGAAGAGAGCAAATCAAACAAATGATATAGATTAAATCCATTAATGCACACAATCTCAGCCTCACAAGTAGTCTGTCTGTACCTGTATGCAACAGGTGTTTAACTAGATTTACAAAAAGAGCTTAAGATGTAGTCTTACTCTAATATAGCTTGAATTAAAATACAGAAATGAAAAGAGCACAGAGCTTGTCTAAGAATATTTTTTATATTTACAGAAGACTTGAAGTTATTAGGTGATAGTTGTTTAAATGTCAAATATTTTATAGCGAGACGAGGAGCCATTTTACCCAAACCCAACGTTGCTCTTAGCATCATTAACTTACATATTAACAACTTCCACATTGTTTTCATTATGTCAGTTTACAACGATAACATTTTACTGTTGCAATCTTTTTAGATAACTCAAGTACCGAATATGTTTTACCCAAATATAAACAATGAGTGACACTTTATGGGGGTCAATGTCCTCATAATACCTATTTGAAACTACTACTCCCTCTTAAAGCCCAGGAAAACCTGATCTATAGAGTTGTTCAAAGGTTTTCAGTAACTGAGAGCATAGCCAGAGTTAAAATATAATAATTTACAACTTTAATAATAATGGGAAAAAAAATCAAACATTGCCAAGTTATGAACAAACATCATCTAATTTCCTTTGAAGAAAAGAGTTGCAATAGCAACAATAACTTGTTTCTCCACCAGTTACAGTAACAATCCTGCCTAAGTTGCACATTAAAATGCACATGCTTTGTTTAAATGCAGCTGCATCTTTTTTTGTACTTTATTTATTTCTATATTTTTCTTTTCAGTTTAGATCAGGGGTGGGCAATCTTGGTCCTCGAGGGCCGCAGCCCTACATGTTTTAC